TAGATTCTAAAAGCAAATACTTCATGAAAAACATTCATCATTACAATTCAATGTTTTCATTTACGTCGATGGGTGGGAAAGTTGATTCATCCATTAATAGAGGAAACGCACCATATATATTCAGGCTTATCGGTCAAAATTATCATAGCATCGGAAGCCTTCTCCCTTCAAATGGATGTCAACCAAGGTTTTCTCAGTTGTACATATATGATACCGAAAATGAAACCTCAAACAGACAGAGATGTTTATGGTATATATTCAATTTTACTATTACTTTCTATTATCACTTTGACAATATTAATTTTATATTACTGATGTATATATTAAAATATTTTTATTTACAGGGGAAGCAATCATCCTTCTACATCAACCGATGATTCAACTAATCTTCAAATTATAGAAGATTTGAAGCTTATGTTGGATTCAAATAACGAGTTGGTCAAGTGCTATAGGATGGTTAGAGACGTTTTTAATTCAAATCCTCATGTTGATCTAAAGTTATGAATTATTGGAAAAAGACAGCATGATGGAAGGACATACAACCTACCAACTGCTTCTGAGGTCGCTGTTTTAATTGTAGGAGACATTGGTGATTTTATTGATAACAGATACATCGTTGTTCAAACTTCGTCTGGAGCTTTACGTCCAGGGAATTACATCCTTTTTACCTTGCTCTACAGTATCCTCTATTATTTCCATATGGTGACGACGGTTATAGAGTTGACATCCCCCATAGAGGTGTTACGTCTTCGAGCAATAGCAAGCGTCCAAACACTACAATGAGGGAATTTTTCGCTTACAAAATTCAATACAGGGATAATTCTTTCTCATTGATTTTGAATTCAAGAAGGCTTTTTCAATAGTTTTTGGTAGATGGTTATACAATGATTGAAAGCGAGAGGTTATATTACGTACGAAAGAAACAGAAAGTTCTTCGATGTGAATCTTATGAGAATTTACATAACTTTCAACATCAGGGGAATAAGAACATTTCGGAAATTGGCCAACATGTTATATTACCTTCTTCTTTCACTGGTGGTGCACGTTACATGATGCAAAACTACTTAGACGCGATGTCTCTTTGTAAGTGGTTTGGGTATCCTAATTTTTTCATAACCTTTACGTGCAATCCAAAATGGCCCGAAGTTCGAAGATTTCTTAAGGACACTACGCTTAATCCAAAGGATAGACTTGATATCCTATGTAGGTTATTTAAGATCAAACTTGATGCGTTGATTAAAGACCTACGCGAGAATTCAGTATTTAGCATGGTTCAAGCAAGTATTTAAAACTATTTATTCATACTATCCATATTATATTTTAATGTCGTGTTTTATTTAAAATATAGTTATAGTACATATATTATTTAATTTTTTAATACAAATTTGTTTATTTCGATATATGCAGTTGTGTATACAATTGAGTTTCAAAAGTGCGGTTTGTCTCACAGTCATATTTGTCTATTCATGCAACCTGATTACAAGCTTCCTACCGTGGAACACATTCATCAATTTATTTCAGCTGAGATTCCCAGTATTCAACAAGATCCTGCTTTGTATTCACTTGTGAAGGAGTTTATGATTCATGGTCCATGTGGTGCTCAAAATGTCAATTGCCCTTGCATGGTGGATAATAAATGCTCTAAAAACTTCCCAAATACTTTCTCTGAACATAATTCAGTTGACAAGAATGGTTTTCCTATATATAGGAGAAAAAACGATGGATCGTTTGTAGAAAAATCTGGTGTCCAGTTAGAAAACCGAAATGTTGTTCCATACAACAAATATTTGTTGAAAAGATACCAAGCACACATAAATGTTGAATGGTGCAATCAAGGATCTTCTATCAAGAATTTATTCAAATATATTAATAAAAGTCCGGATAGAGCTACTGTTACTTTTGTACAAAACAACAATGGTTCTGATAAAGATGATACAGTCGATGAGATAAAAGAATACTATGATTGTAGATATCTTTCTGCATGTGAAGCATCTTGGCGAATTTATGGATACGATGTTCATTACAGGCATCCTTCAGTGATGAGACTTCCTTTTCATCTACCTAATCAACAACAAGTTGTCTACGGTGCAGATGATGATATCGATAATGTTCTTAACCAGCCTTCAGTTGCTTCTTCGATGTTCACATCTTGGATGGAGTGCAACAAAGTTTACAAACAAGTGAAAAAACTAACTTATATTGAATTTCCAACAAAGTTTGTTTGGAAGCTTGGTTCAAAAACTTGGAAGCCAAGGGAGTTTGGATATTCGATTGGCAGAATTCATTTAGTGTCACCTAATCTTGGCAAAGCATATTTCTTAAGAATTCTTTTAAACAATGTGAAAGGACCAACGTCATTTGAAGAAATCCTCATGGTTAATGGTGAAATATGTCCTTCATTTAGAGATGCATGTTATGCTCTTGGCCTCTTAGATGATGATAAAGAATACATCGAAGCTATTAACGAGGCAAGTCAGTCTGGATCCGGTTATTACTTACGTTTCTTATTCGCTACCATGTTATTATCTCACAGCTTGTCTAGCCCGGATGTTGTGTGGGAAAATACATGGGTATACTTGTCGGATGGAATTCTTTACAATCAACAACAAAGATTAAAATCTCCAGGTACTATAATATTCTTTACTTATTTATTAAAATACATTTATAAATCAATATACAATATTAATTTATTTCAAGAAAAAAACTGTTTATATATTTTTTTGTTATTATTATACCAATTTTCTTTCAGGTTTATCACTTAATGAAGATCAAATTAAGAACCTGACTTTGTTTGAGATTGAACAAATTTTACTTCGTAACAATTCAAGTCTCAAAAAATTTACAAGGATGCCTTTGCCCGATGCTGATTCTGTATCCTCTTCAAACAATCGTCTTATTAGTGAGGAGCTAGATTATGAAATACCAAATTTAAAGAATGAGTTTGATCGGCTTTCTATTGCATTAACATCTTAGCAACAAAACATTTTTGATGATATCATGACTGCAATAAACAATAATGAAGGAGGTGTTTTCTTTGTCTATGGTTATGGTGGAACGGGTAAAACCTATCTTTGGAAGACATTATCAGCCGCAGTTAGATGTAATGTTCAAATTGTTTTAAATGTTGCTTCAAGTGGGATCGTTTCTTTATTATTAACCAGTGGTAGGAAAGCACATTCACGGTTTATAATTCCTTTGGTTCTTACTGAGGTTTCTATCTGTTCAATATCACCAGATAGTGAACTTGCCAGTTTATTACGGAAAACCTCATTAATCATTTGGGATGAAGCACCCATGATTCACAAGCATGCATTTGAAGCTTTAGATCGAACTTTGAAAGATATATTCAAGTGTCATAATCCTAGAAACTCAACTTTGCCATTTGGAGGGAAAGTAATTGTTTTTGGAGGAGATTTTAGATAAATTTTGCCTGTTATCCCAAGTGGTAGTAGACAAGACATTGTTAATGCTTCATTAAGTTCATCATATTTATGGCAACAATGCAAAGTCTATCAACTAACCAAGAATATGAGTATAACCGTTGGAAGTGATACATCTGCTTTTCAACAGACAATGGATTTTGCAAAATGACTTTTAGATATAGGAGAAGGGAAACTTGGTGGTTTTAATGATGGCGAAGCGATTATTGATATTCCGGATGATCTTCTAATTAATGATCCTTATGATCCTATAGGTTCGTTAATCGAGTTTGTATATCCTTAAATTCTTGAAGCTTCTAGCAATCCAGAATATTTTCAAGAAAGAGAAATACTTGCTCCAAAAAATGAAGTTGTCGGAAAAATAAATGATCGTTTGCTAGCATTATTTGGAGGAGATGAAGTTGAATATATAAGTTCAGATAAACTATGTGAATCTGAGTTTGTCCATGATCACTTTGATGCCAATTTATATTCACCTGATGTTTTAAATGGTCTTAAACTCTCAGGTCTGCCTAATCATAAGTTAGTTTGAAAGTTGGGGTTCCAGTTATGTTACTGAGAAACATTGATAAAAAAAAATTGCTTATGTAATGGCACTAGACTACATGTGATATCGTTGGGCAAACGTGTTATTGAGGCAGTTATCATAACTGGAAGTAATATTGAAAATCGGACCTTTATTCCAAGAATGACCTTAACACCATCTGAAAAACAAATCCCATTCAAATTCCAAAGAAGACAATTTCCATTAGCTGTTTGTTTTGCAATGACAATTAACAAGAGCCAAAGAAAGTCCTTATCTAAGGTTGGTTTGTTTTTGAAAGATCCAGTTTTTACACATGGTCAATTATATGTTGCCCTATCTAGAGTTCAAAGTAAAGAAGAATTAAAATTGTTAATTTTAGATAAGGATGGTAGAATTACCAATAAAACTTCTAATGTTGTTTATAAAGAAGTTTTTAGAAATTTGTAAGTTATTTGTAAAATTTTATTCGTCATAACATGTTTTCTTATTATTATTGATAAAACTTTGTTAATTTTATTTATATTATTTGAGTAATAATTACAACATTTTAATATGAAAGTGTAATTAATTTTACAACCGTGGTTTACACGGGTTATAAACTAGTAAGGGAATAACCGACATGGAGGGAGGAAGGAACACCATTCTCTGTAAATGCTACAATGGTTCACCGAAATGACGATATACCCTTACAACTTCGTAGCCATGTAAGCATTAAATGAAAAAGGTAATCCTTAGACTTTATCACCTTAATGCATTTAATGACTTATGGTTTACAATGGAACCTTTTTTACTCTAAATAAAAATATTATTAATTTCTTTTTGTAAGATTTTAATTTATATCTAGTAATAAATTAACTTCATATTCTTTCCATTACAATTAGTTTCTTTTTGTAAGATTTTCATTTATATTGGGTATTAAATTAACTTCATATTCTTTCCATTACAAAAATATTCATATATTCTTTCCATTACAAAAATATAGCATTTATAACCTTATACTATTTTTAATTAATGATCAAATATAAGGAACCAACCGTAAACAAATTTTGTTCCATTAGAAACTATAAAAACACAAGTTTGTGAACAGTTGTTTCACTCATTGTCAAACGAAGTGAAATCAATATAAAAAAACACTCAAACATTAGCAATGAAGCTTATAAGCATGTATGCTATACTTGTATTACTTATCACAACACCAATTGCTACATCAATATCAAAAACAGGTAATTTTACATACTTTTGTATATGATTATCTATATATGTATATCTAAGGTTGTTTGTCAAAGATTCATTTATTGATAAATGATTTCAACTTCTTAATGGTTCAGAAAAAAAAAAGTAAAATTTTTAACGAAGATTGTGTATTGTTGTGACTTGTTTTAGGCGTTGTGAATACCGAGTCCAAGATTAAAATCGACTTTTGTGAGTCGTATTTTGATTGGGGTAGTAGTTGTCAAGATAAAAAATGCAATGATTATTGTAGCAGTTTGTACGATAAATTCTCATGGGGGGAGTGCGTAACACTGTATGGTATGGTAAGGTGTCATTGTCATTGGCCTTGTTAGAATGTTCAAAGCTTTTGTAAATCTATTTGGGTACTACAAATAGAATTGGTTATTAATGTGTGGAATTTTCCATATTCAAAGTTGATATGGTTGATTAAGTTGAAAATTTGGGAACAAAAGCTATTCCAATATAGAGGCGACAGTTCTGATCTATTTACATAAAACTAAGTCTATATAATTTTATTTCACTTAACTATGAATCATATAAATAAATTAAAAAAAAGTTAAAAAATAAAATCACAACGCGTCAAATACATAAATATTTTGATTGAATTCTCCATAAACAGAAAGTGAAGAAACAAAGGTTTTTGTATTGTCTATCACATTTTAACAAACTAAAATTTATTTGTTGGAATTTTTATTATCTAATGTCCAATCACAATTTCATTTAAAAAATGATTTGAATTTTTAGTAACTATAATTTAAAACAACAGAAAGAGTTTAATATTTAACAAATGTTAAATAAATATAATCATGATCATTTACAATTTATAATATCCAATATCCTTATTTAATGTTAAACTAATTAGTATATATATATATATATATATATATATATATATATATATATATATATATATATATATATATATATATATATATATATATATATATATATCAGGTTTATTTGAGACTATTCTAATTTTGTGAGATCGTGAGACCAAATCTAAAAATAATTTTAAAATGCAAAATAAATGGAAAAATCCAAAAATTCTTTTTTTAAATATTATTTTCGGAACTTGAATTAAGTAAAAAAATTAAAAAAAAAATTCTGTTTTTTTTTTTTTTTTTTTAAATAAGTGAAATATTCTAATAGAATATTACACTAACATATTCTAAAAAGTAATTTTAAAATGCAAAATAAATGGAAAAATCTAAAAATTCTTTATTTAAATATTATTTTCGGAATTTAAATTAACTAAAAAAAATAAAAAAAATAAAAAATAAATAAAAATAAATTCTATTTTTTTTGAAAAATACGTGAAATATTCTAATAGAATATTAAACTGACATATTTTAAAAAATAATTTTAAAATGCAAAATAAATGGAAAAATCAAAAAAAAAAAATTTAAAATATTATTTTCGGAACTTGAATTAACTAAAAAAAATTTTAAAAAATAAAAAGAAAAATAAAAAAATGCGTCTCACGTTTTCACAAAATTAGACCGTCTCAAATGAACCTTACCCTATATATATATATATATATATATATATATATATATATATATATATATATATATATATATATATATATATATATATATATATATATATATATATATAAACCCTTTTATTCTCCTACGTGCAAAATCAAAATTATAGTCTTCTTTTCGCGCCACGTAACCTACTTTTAAACGGGGTGATGGTCATAATGTCGATTCACACCGCGTCCTTCAACAAAATGTTATATGGATTTATCCATCCCCTCCAAAAGAACATATTCCTTCACAGGAATCCGAAAATATCTTCCATAGAAAAACCCTAATTTGGTGGCAAACAATAAATTCGCCGTTTAATGGCAGCAAGAATGTCTCTTCCTCTTCCCGGAATTTTTCAAAACAGGTTACACTTTATTAAATTCTCAATTCTTCCTTTCGGCATTTCTCTCTAGAAAATGACCAAATTTCTAATCATTGACATTCACTATTGGATAGAAAAAAACGATTCTATCGTTCTCTGTCTCGTTTTTTTTTTTATAGATTTTACACGATTGATGGATGGTGATATTTAGGGGGTGTTTGGCTTAGCTTTTAAAAGCCAAAAGTTCTTTTTGGAAAAGTTACAAAAAGTCAGAATTTCTTGATTTTTCCAAAAAGTTGATTTTCCTTATATAAAAACTGCAAAAGTAACTTTCAAAACAAGTTTGCCAAGCATCTTTTCATTTTTTTATTTTTCAAAAAGAACTTTTGGATTTGAAAAGCTAAGCCAAACACCCCCTTAATCTGATGGCGATAAAATGGAGGTTTTAGGGTTATTGGTGTCGTCTAGAGTAAGTGTACACGATTCTTTCATTCTTTGTATGCCACATAACCTATATTCCGAACGACGCCATATGGACATCGAAGTCGATGACTCGGTTCCCATGTGTCGTATGGATGGGTCACTCTGTCGTATCGATGGATCAGCGACCTATGTAATCTGCTTCATTTTTGTTTCATCACGCCTTCATCCACCATCAATTCCAAAAGTCGGTTCATGAGGATGGGTAAGAGCGTTTACATCGGCATATTCATCCCTCTCAATTTCATTACTTTTTGTGTTTTCGTTTACTATATTCGAACCCTAGCTTTCTCCTTCTGTGCTTCTCACGGTCTTCGTTTTTTCATAAGTTGGATACGATGATTATGGAACCACATCCGTTTTTCTCTTACACATCCAATAACGCTACTTCTCATATGCAAGGAGATTCTGACGTTTGTATGTAAAAGGTAACTTACTATATGATTACTTGTTTTGATATCACATGGATGGTGTTGAAGATATATAAATCGAGAATGAAATCATAAGCAACCCCTCAGAACAAATATCACATAATTGAACATATGTTGCTATTTCCTTTTTATAACTATCATCGTGATCTGCACATGCTTCCTCCTGGTTATTGATATGAACTTCTTTCCTTACAAATTTAGATTTCAAATGGTTTTTACATAAATATGAAATAATTTATGGCAATAATATCTTAAACCATGATACTAATGCCTTCTATGTGTTTAATGTATTGCTTCATGGAGAATTTTCTAATTGAAATACATAAAAAACCAGGCCTTTCGATCTTCTTCCATTTTTTTAATATGTAGATTACATTCAACTCATTATGTGTGATTGCAAAGTATTAGCAAGCTCACTGATTGCTTCATCTAATAATATTCTCTTTGTTTATCATGTAATAAGATTCTGTTATTTTAGTTTCCAAGGCACTTTTACATGTTGGTGATCATTCATTGTTCAATGAAATGTCATCGTCGCTTGCAGACTCCAAATTATTCCGGTGGGTGTTGACACATTAAGCAATTTCAATCATTCTCTATATTACCTTGATAGAGAATCAGCAAGGAACCGACAATGTAACTCATTGAGTGTATGTTATGTTAATAAATTAGTTTATGATATATTTCATGTGTGGCTTTGAATGCTGCATGATTTTTTAACCAGTATTACCAGACCATCATTTTGAGAGGGTACCAACTTGTCAAATACTAAAATATAAATTACCTATGAATGATTACAAAAAAAAAAAAAAAGAAGAAGAAGAAATCTAACTTTCACTTAATTGTTAATTATAAGGATAGTCAGAGTGGACTCACAAAAAATGCTTGCTAAGCTCGTTAAAGGAGTTGGAACACCTCCCCTAGCACTCGCTAGGGGGCTCGCTAGACGAAAGTCGCTACTGGCTTGGCGAGAGGAGAAAGGGAAGTTTGTTTGATTGTGATTGGATGCATTATCATTCAATAGATCAACCTTGTTTTTACTTGATATCACAATTTTTAATTAAAAAAAAAACCTTAGGAGTGCATTCCTTATGAAATGTTAAGATTTAAGTGCTAAGAAAAAAATATGACGTGTCGGACAAAAAAGTGATGTAGACTTATGAAATGTTAAGATTTAAGTGCTAAGACAAAAATATGACGTGTCAAAAAAGTGATGTAGCAAAGTATTAGGAGTGTTATCATTCCCTCTAAGAACATACTAGGGCTGTGCAAAAAACCGCACAAACCGCACAAACCGCCCACACCGCACCAAACCGCACCGCATATGCGGTTTAGAATTTCGCGGTGCGGTTTGCGGTTCATCATTTATCAAACCGCACTATGCGGTGTGGTTTGCGGTTTGTATTTATAAAATTGCGGTTCAAACCGCACCGCACCGCATGTTATATATACTTTTTTTTCTTTATTTTGTTATAACTTCAAATCACGATTTAGAAATGATGTATATAAATATATTTCTTACAATAACCAAATATCTATAACGTAACATTAAATCACTATTAGATCAAGATCTCATGGTTTACAAGAATATATAAATTATAACGGTAATATAAAACAATAACAATGATACTTACAAAACTATAGTAACATGAGTCACAATTTATTAAAAACGATTTAACTCGAAAATTGTATTTGTTTTTATAAAATGAAAGCAATCATTTTTTAACCCAGTCAGGTTTTTAGTTTTTTGATAGATTTAATGTTAAACAACACATCAAATCGCAACTAAACCGCATAAACCGCCCGCATCAAACCGCACCGCATCATGCGGTTTTGAACATCTGTGGTGCGGTTTGCGGTTTCTAAAATATTCAAACCGCATATGCGGTGCGGTTTGCGGTTTTGACTCGAAACCGCACCAAACCGCACCGCGCACACCCCTAGAACATACTATTTTTTATTCATGCTTTTACAATGAAAATACACGCATACAAAACACGACATAAGAAAATACCTAAATTACCCTTTGTGGGTCGTGCTTAGGACGGGCCTCCAACTTTTCTAGTATATATATATATATATATATATATATATATATATATATATATATATATATATATATATATATATATATATATATATATATATATATATATATATATATTAGTCATATCTTATGAGAGATACTGTGTGGCTATGTTGGTACTTTTGCCTAGTTTTGACTTTTTTCGGGGCTTGAATAGTGCTCGGATGCAGCCTGCAGGGCGGGTGCGGAACCAGCTCAAAAGTCATATGTCATCCGAACCTAACGATATAACATCAAAATTCCAATTTTAGTCTCATTAACATCAATATCGATCCTAATATTATGCACCATAAACGTAGTCCAACATTTTGTGCTCTATCACGTCTTGAATAACAAACTAAACATTTTCGTATACATTTTCAAATGAGAAAGTCTGCACCAAACAAAAGTTGGAATCTGTTTGTAATTTTTATTCGAGACATTACAAATAGAAGAAGACATATACGGATCAGGTTAAGGGCTATGAATCATGATACATGATTATGATCAATCATACACTCCTAAACAGGAAAAAGCGTCTTTATTTATGCTTCTCAAAAATTAAAATACTCATACCGCAACACCAAACCACACGCCTGATCGTGTTTAACCAAAATAAACACGAATCAGGGTTGTTAGACAAAAACAAGTACACACGAAACAAAAGGACTCAGTAGTGTTGATTAAACATACGCGTAGAGAAAAAAAGTGATCTGATGCTTGTATAGAAGTACGCAACATTAATCAAGCTTTCCAAGATGATAATGGAGGAGTCTCGGTGTCCTTAAATGTTGAAATACCATCACCATATCGACCACCCTTGACTGAATCAGCAGCAGCAATGGCTTCAAGTTCAGCCATGTCTTCTGGTGTTAGTTTCACAGATAAAGCTCCAATGTTCTGTTCAAGATTCTCAATCTTTGTAGTTCCTGGAATTGGCACCACATCATTCCCCTGGTGGTGAACCCAAGCCAATGCTAGCTGTGATGGGGTGCACCCCTTCTTTGCCGCCATCTCATTCACCCTCTCGAACATTTTGGTGTTGTGTTCAAGATTTTCACCTTGGAACCTCGGCAGATACTACAAAATGAATATTTTAAACCTTATATCAAAGGCCTCTTCGTTGATAAATTGGAATAGATGCAGATAATAATTGAAAATATAACACAAAAGTACGTGTAACTAATTAACAGACCTTGCGGAGGTCACCATCTTCCAAATTCTCGAGCACCTTAGGACCAGATGAGAAGAACCCTCGTCCTAGAGGACTGTATGCAACAATTCCGATTCCAAGTTCTCTGCAAGTAGGAATGATTTCTTCTTCAACGTCTCTTGACCACAAGGACCATTCTAGTTGTACGGCTGTTAATGGGTGCACAGCATGAGCTCTTCTGATGGTTGATGCCGAAGCCTCGGATAATCCAACGTATTTAACCTTTCCTTCTTCCACCAGCTCCTTTACTGCTCCCATCTATCAACGATAAAAACAAGTTTAGAGGAACTCATATAAACGGATAATGAAAGAAAGAGATACGTTGGAAAATGGAAATATACCGTGATTTCGATAGGCACACGACTGTCAATCCTGTGTTGATAATAAAGATCAATACAATCGATGCCGAGTCTCTTCAGGCTTGCTTCACAAGCATACTTTACATATGCCGGATCTCCACAGACCTCCATTGCGTCAGTATCGTATTTGACTCCGAATTTGGTCGCCATTTCCACTTTCTCCCTCATTCCTCCCTTCAAAGCCTGTAGTAAACAAGAAACGATACTTGAACAGTAAGTTGACTGAATGATCGAAACATGAAAAGACACCTCTGATCAAGCGATCTTAAAACTAATTGGCAACCAAAGTAAGATACAGTTAGTGAGCTCGTAATAGTAGAAAGAATCTCACCTTGCCGATAAGGATTTCGTTGGTCTGAGGTCCGTACATGTCGGAGGTGTCAAGAAAGGTAATGCCGGCGTTAATGGCGTGATGGATTACCTTGATCATCTCAGGTTCTGGTTTTGGGGCCCCGTAGAAATAGGACATGCCCATGCAACCCAAACCTTGAGCTGATACCTCTAGACCCTGTTGACCCAGTTTAACTCTTCGTATTCCTGCCATTTTTTAGCTTTGTTCTTGTTCAATGGATAGATTGATGAAGACAGTGCTTGACAGATTAGTTTATATAGGGATTGAGGTGTGCGGAGATTGTTGAAATTTGGATAGCGGCTTCTTGTTGGTCAATCGTGATGGGCGTTGACGCAAAGGTAGATCTCATGCGGTCATGCCTACGTATTTATCTAGATTGTTTCGTTTTCGGTTTTGAAACGGTGAGTATACTTTGAATTCCCACTTACGTTCAATACTTGACATTTCAACCTCTTTTAAGTGATCTCAATATTTGTTCCTGCCGCTGGCTTAAATATGTGTTTGTACTTAATTATTGTCAAAAGATTGACTTTAGTTATCTGAGTTAATTAATCAGTAAAGAGTATAATTTGAATAAATAATATTATGTTTATTTTATATTGTGACCTACTAGTCAAAAACGATTTGGATCACACAATAATCCCGATCTCATCTTTTTAGTATTTTTATATAGTTTGAGTTTCAAATATTTATCAATTAAAGGTAAAATCGATACTCAAAAGTTACAATAAGTCGTGTAAAGCATCATAATTTCATTGATACGTCTTGAAGTAGGTGGAATCCGGTCATAGTAATCCTTTTGTGATCTTATGTCTTTAGTTGCACAAGATCAAAATGATTTTTTTTTCTAGTTATACTGTTTTCTTCTTAATTTTTATGGTTTGTAATAAAAAATTATGGTTTATGCTTAAAAAGTTAAAGTTGATACGACGCCTTAGTGTAGACTTGACACCTACTGTCTTACGAGTAAACTTGAATATGAGTTTGTTTTGTAATATCTTTCGATTAAGGTCTTACAATGCATAAGATAATCTTAAATGTGGTCACGATTTTGACAACCTTTGTTTTAAGGATAAAGTAGTCTCTTGATCTCAATAAAATATATTGTTGAAAAAATAACAAAATTAGTCATTTTTGTTAATATCAAAAATTTCATTTTTAATTTAATAATTATAAAACTATTTGTCTGAAATCATCCATAGTGTCAACTCATATCAAAACCAATGTATCAACAGTCAAAACATACCATGATAAAAAATCATCAGCGTACAACTCCTAAAGATCTCGTGTGCGGAAATCATGGTGTGATTCACTGCAATCATGTCGGCTCCTTTCCTTTTGAAGAAGAAGTATCTGAAACCAAAACTGAAAACCGTAAGCACAAAGTTTAGTGAGTTCCTCCATTATACCACATACCATATAATATCATGTTGTCGAGCATATCTGGGTATTGGCCTACCCTTTCGGTCTCTTTCAATCGGTAACCGTCTAGCATATTTGTGTTGGGGTTTGAGTAAACTAACACTCCTAAGATGTTCATGCAACCCTAAAACCTTGGATCTATGTTTTACTATGAATACATGCAACTTTGATTTTTCCAAAGTTCATAACCTATCTAGCATGGCATGGGGAACATTAAACATAATGGCTAGAAGAATTACATACCTTTCAATTTGTGAGTTGATTCCTTGAAGTTTGAGAGCCTAGCACCAATAATGTGGATGCCTCAAATGGAAATCACAAATCACCACAAACTTGAAAAAACCTTAAGAGAGTGTATGTAGCTTATAGATATTGGCCACCACCTTTTACACACACAACTAGTGCCATTTCAAGCATTAAAAGCTCCTTTAAATAGTGTGGAGGATTATGGTTACATCCATGTAAACCCTAATACCCATGACTCCTCCTTTCCAAGGATCCATAGGTTAAAAGCTCCATGGACTATCCATGGCTCCCATGCATGCCAAGCCCATTCCAAATGAGTATTATCCCACACTTATATAAATACAAGAGCCCATATTTAATTAGTCATCTTTTTTATCACCAAATTAATTCTAAATTAATTTATGATCAATACTAATTAAATAATATGATTTCACATTAATATATTATAACTTATAATATATAAACAAATTATAAACATACTATTCTCGAAAGTTTAACCATTAATAGTTCGGGTGAAGTGCAACCCAAATGGACCATGACGGGTCGGGTCAAGTATATACAAAATAAAGTTATGGACTAAGACATCTTATCCAACAATTTGGGTGTTGGCCTACCCCTTCGGTCTCTTTCAACCGGTAACTACCTAGCATATATGGGTGCCAGCCTACCCCTTCGGTCTCTTTCAACCGGTTACAGGGACTATTTCACCCCTACCACTACCACATAACATCCTAGCCTATAAACGCATAATCGCATGCTTCCTAGCATACTGGGTGCTAGCCTACCCCTTCGGTCCTTCGACCGACTACGAGGACTATTTCACCCCTACTGTTGATGTATATTGTAAAAGTCGAATAGAGTGTTTTGTATAGTTTCGCATTTTATGTTATTTTACTAAGTCATTTTTATGCGAAGATAAAATGTATAGACTTAGTATACTTTTTGATGGTTCCCTATAAATAGGGACTTAGGCTAGAAGTTGTAGAACGAATGCTTGAACTCACTTTTGCTTAACTCTGTAATCAGACTTTATCAATATAAGATCTGATTAATATTTACTCTCTGTGTTCTTCATCTTAATTCATACAAATCTATCATTTCTGTTATAAATTCTCGATAGCAATTCTCATCAATTGGTATCAGAGCAGGATTCAAACTGCTTAGATCTGATTTTCGTATAAGAATCATTTGCTTTTTGAGTTACGAATTTTACTCAAAATTTTCCGCGCATTTTTGATTTTGAAAATCACTTTTGATCTTCAGATTTGAATTGATTCTGCATTTGAATTGTTAATTCGAGTAATCGATTAGTGATTTGTGATCAATTCGTTTGATAAATTCTGAAATTCATCAAGTTTTCAAGTTTTCAGATATGTTCTGTGTTCATCAATGGCGAACTTCAACATGAATTCAATGACTTCTTTCTCTCACTTGCTTGGTTCATCAACCAAAATTCCGATGTTAATTCCAGAATACTATGATCAGTGGGATGATAGAATGGAAGATTACTTAAATGGAATTGATGAAGAACTTTGGAAGTGTATTGATGGAACAGTACTAGTTCCTGCTAATGTTCAACCAATTAGATCATTTGCTGCGTCTACTGATGTTGAAGAACAATGCAATCGATTGAAGAAAAATGAAAAGAGATGCATGAGAGAACTAAGAGGAGCTCTACCTCCTGTGGTTTACAATTACATTCGTAGTTGTAAAACAGCTAAAGAGATCTTGAATACTCTAAAGGAAAAATATCAAGGAAGTGAAAAGACGAAGATCAACTCTGTGAAGCAGTGTCTCGTTGAACTGAAGGAATTCAGACAAGAGGATTCAGAAAGTTTAGAAAGTTGTTATGATCGTCTGAACAAGCTTATATTTCGTTGCAACAGGTATGGAGAGGTGCGAAAGGCAATTCACTCTGCAATTCAAAAGCTTATGAATTGAATTGTATCGACTGTTTACAAAGGGGGAGAATGTTGATGTATATTGTAAAAGTCGAATAGAGTGTTTTGTATAGTTTCGCATTTTATGTTATTTTACTAAGTCATTTTTATGCGAAGATAAAATGTATAGACTTAGTATACGCACTTGTTCACTTTTTGTGAAACTTTCATTTACAATGTTAACCAACTCATCCGCATTACGAAATTCATCAATTTTGACAATACCATATGAATATCTATCATCCGGTATTTTGTCAAATTGAGCAATTGTACTTTCGCAATCATAAGAAACTACATCAACTTTTTCACGCTCATATTCAAGAAAAGGTAGAAGTTTCCTATGTTGTTCTTTGCTAATATCAGAAGAATGATGTAAAGCAATTAATTTTGCATACAACCTTTTAGCTGAATTACAATAGATGTTTCTTTGTGCTAGTAACAATCTAACATCATTCGAAAGATTATTCCTATCACAATCTATGTTTTTGATTTGCAATTCTAATTTTTCTACCCTGCTCTTCTTTATTTCTAATTCCCTTTGTGTCTCACTTAGTTGCACATTCAATTTCTTAGCTTCATTACTAGCAGACACAATAACAGAATCAAAATAAGCCACAGTATCATCAAACGAAACAATTTCAGCATCATAAGCAGATAAAGGAATATTAAAAGATTCAAGAATTGCACGTACCTTGGTTGTCATAGGAGATTTTTCTGTGGATTTAGACATAAAACATTTCCCAGAAATGTTCTCTTCGCAGTCCTCAAAACTTGTGAACATAGCTCCATGTGTTGGATGGCTCATTTCTTCATCATCAGATCCAGAAGACCAGATCTGATACGTTCCACTTTCTTCTTCATCCGACTCTCCCTTAGCAACCAAAGACACTCCTTTGTTCTTTGCCCTTAACTCTTCAATTTTTTCAGAATAATAAGCTTCATCTTTGACTTTTTCTTTCTTTTCTTCTTTCTTTCGCAACATGCAATCAGCTGCGAAATGATTCGCACCATTGTAGTAGTGACAAAACTTTTTCTCTTCTTTCGCATTCTTCTGTTTTCCATCTGTTTTCTCCATTTTCTTCTTCTCTTCTCCTCCAGTTCTTGTTACTTCACTTTTCACATTACTATTCGTTCCTTTCGGATTAAAAGGCTTTTTGAAAAACTTTTTAACTTTGTTGTTTGAATAGTATGCTACTGCTTCATCATCAGGGTTCATAAAAAATCCTTCTATATCAGAACCATCTTTTTCATCATTGTCTGTTACTTTTGAAACAAGAGCCAAAGGACCACCAATAGCTTGTTTTGATTCTTCATACATTTCTGTGACCTCACATTCATGAGTTTTCAGTTGATTGTACAGATCATTCAATGTTGTTGTATCAAATCATTGTTGATTCTTTATCATCAATTGGTATCAAATCTTGATGAACACTTGTGTGTTCTTCCTCCATAGGAGTATTTGATATGCTTTCACAAGTTATCGACGTCGAAGTTGTTGTTGATTCATCAGAATGTTTTGAAGATTCTGATGTTTGATTATCAGGAGTATTATCTTCTGCATTAATTGCACTGTCAGGAATTCCAAAAATTAAGTCATAATCAAAATCAT